GAATAAGATCTGCAAGACATAGTATTAATTCTTAATAATTTCAGGTTAGTTTAATAAAAATAGTAGCAGAATTACTATAATGTTCGTTTATTAATGTTTGTATATTGACATAATTGTAATATAAGAATTATTACAGAAAGCGGCAATAATTAAAATATAGCAGATAAAAAAATCAAAAATGACGTGAAATTATGAATGCGAAATAGATTTCTGATTAATGATGAGTATATAATTTAAAAACTTACTAAAAATATTTTTTAAAATTGCGCAAATATTAAAATTCATGGACAAAACGATATCGCATGTAAACTGTAATTTTCCGTATCTGCAAACAAAACAATTTTAAAAAAAAATTACCATTATTATCTAACCTAAATCATAAAGGATTCCTTGAAACAATAATTTTTATCATGAGTAATTAAACTTTTTTCTTTTAATTCTGATTTTAACTGTTTTAACATATGATTTATAATTGGAATCATTGCCAAAATACAATTCCCTAAAAGTTTTTATAATTTATCTTAAGGAACGAAATCATAAAACAATGATTAATTGAAATTTAATTGAATTTTCATTTAATTGAAATTGAAAAACTAAGCAGTCACACTCAAATAACTACACAGGTTATCATTCATAATTAAAATGTTTATTCTAATTAAATTTCAAAGTTAAGAGTAAGAAAGTTAAAATGCCCATACGCGCTCTGCATATATAACGTAGTGAAAACTATGGATTTGTGTTTTAAAAAATATTAGCAAAGTAAATACTTTATTTTCTAAAAAGTTCTTTATTTAGTCAACACTTTAACTTTATTTCAAATTTATCATTAACGTACATTTTTCAAAGTTCTAGACAATCAGTTATACAAATTTTATTTTTTATTTGAACATTGTTTTATTGTTTTATTTTATTTTTAAGTATGTTTTGTTATTTTTATGGAGTATTTTTGCAATTTTCTTGATAAAAAAAAATATAGGATCCATATTATAGGATATGATACATATAATCATATATAATCCATATTATAGGATCTATACATAAGTCATTACACTTCATGTGTTTGTATGGTTATTACAAACATAGGAAAATATCATGGAACATAGAATTTCTAACATTTTATTGTTAAATTTCTTTGAATTAAACTAATGCTCTTGAAAACCTTTTAAAGTTCGATACAACAAACTCTTTCATAAATTCTTCTTGGACTTTTATAATTATTTTTTAATTGTTTTATTTAAATTCTAGTTTTGATGTTTCCTATTTCCATTTTCTTCTTTCAAATTATTTGTATCAAAAATTTTTCTCTCTTTTTTAAACAGGTGAATCAATATAGAAATAGTACTAAATCTACTTTATCGCATTTAAATATATTTATAATCATTTACATAATCATATACAAGTGTATATAATATGTAGTACTTATAAATATCCAAGCCATTTGGCTAACATCTCAGTTTTGATTTTAATGTTATTTCGACCGAATATTCAATATAAATTTTTTAGACCACAAAAAATTCATATAAAAAATTTTATGTTATTAGAATTGTTACAAGAATAACGGTAAATATTCTAGTATTTATATCCGTACGAACGTATGTTCGAAGATTATAGTAAATTTACCTTACCGTTTGTAACGCTAAAAAATAATGGTCTGAGACAAAAACTCAAGTGTATGTTTTTGATCAGCGTCGAATTCTAAGTCGACTTAGCTTTATCTCTCAACTCAAAAACTAATTGAGCAAAGTTCACCAAATTTTCACAAATGGTTTATTATAGTAAATGCCAGAAGCATATTTATATTGGATATGATCGGGATACTGGTTCGGGTAGCTGCCATACAACTTCAAAATTTATTTGCTATATCTTGGAAACTATAAAAATTATGGTATTAAAATTCGGCGTAAGTAAATACATAAGTAGGGCCGAAGTGTTTGATAAAACTCGTTGAAAATTCTTGACTCCTTCTGGTAGCTGTCATACAAAGTTATTTGGCTATATCCTAGAAACTATAAAAGCTGTGATATTGAAATTTCACACAAGCGAATATATTAGTAGGACCAATGTATGTGATAAAATTCGTTGACATTACTTGGATCTTTCTGATAGCAGCCATACAACTTTAATAGTAGTTTGGCCATTTCTTAGAAAATATTGAAAACACAGTACTGGAATTTTGCATAAATTAGTATGGTAATACGACACCTTAAAGTCATAGTCTGTCACATAGTGAGCTATGACATATTTATTCGCACATAGGATAAGAAATTCGTACGGGTATCACAGAGTTGACGCGGTTAACTCTATTTTTTCACGTTTTTAGCTATTGTCTTCAATATTCTGAATTTCTATATAAAATTAAGTGTACTATATTGTTTGTTTCTTCATTTGTGGTTTCTTTAGTCATAAAAAAACTAGAAATTTACTTACACAATTTATAATTTACAAACAAATTATTTCCTGTTAATTTTGGTCTTTAGAAAAGTTGTTCATAATTCTTCTAAGAATAGAAATCTTATTTATACACACAAAATCAGAAACTAAAGAAAATTTTATAAAAACCAATCAAAATTTTTTATTAAGTTTTTATGGAAAAATTATTTAAACAATGGAAAACGAAAAAATTAATTTTATTTACTCACCATTTTCTCTGCAAATTCTTGATTCATTGTTATATGACGGAGCTTATGATGAACAGCTAAAGAAATTTTTCAAGTATTTAGCATGTTTTCTGATAATCAAACAGTTAATGGTGATTATTACGAAAACCTTTTAAAAAAATTCGACAGAAATAAAAAATTAGCAAATAAAATTTACATTTCGAATGACGTTACAATTAATCCAAACTTTCAACACTTGATAAAAGAAAAGTATGCTTCTGAGCATACTTTTATTAAGGATACAAATTATTAAGGAGGATTCACTAGATTTCGGAAATTTTTAAATGTTATTAATTAATGCCATTTGTTTTAAAGGAAAATAGCAAATACCATTTAAAAAGAATAACACTAGCAAGGGTATATTTTTTAGAAAAGATGTCGAAAATTATGTTAAAATTGATATGATGATAGTAAGAGGAAATTTTTATCATGGTTTTTATGACGATTTAATATAATGTTAAAATTAATTTTCAAAATTATGAAGCGAAATTGAATAATGACCAAAATAAGGAAGAAAATGAAAATGATGATATTTTTAATGAAAAATCAAAATTATTTATTATAGATCGTGGAATTTATTATAGATCATCCATTTTTATATTTCATTATGAATGGAAAACATGAAATATATTTTATGGAACATGATTTAACATAAATGTAATTGGTGTGGCGGTAATCATATTAATTACTTTCAATATTTGTAAGAAACTATAATTCATATTAAATTTTCTTAATTTATCTCTAATTTAAAATTTTGTTTATTAAAACGTAAACAAGACGTTTCTGGAATTGTTTTCCTCAAAAATATAAAAGTATACAAAAGAATTAGTATAAATATAATTAATATTATAAGTTACAGAACACTTGTTTACTTATATATTTTTAACACATGTACACATAAATATATTACACAGCATTTTTATAATAAATTCTTCAATTTTATTAAAAAAATTTTAACCACAAATAAATACATACATATTTAAGTCTCAGAATGTACATAAATAACATTTCATTTATTTAAATGAAGATTTTCATTTTTCTTTTTTTCTTTTTGCCTTTATAATTGCGGACTACAACCAAAAGTGCGACGCAGAATAGATCTGGCGAACCGCTGCAACTTTGGTTTGTGAAACCAACTGAGTTCAAAATTCCTATCCAGAAGCACTAAGCTGCAACAGTATAAAACGCTTTACGGTTTTGCTTTATGGGTCGGAAGCTTGGGCATTGTCTAGGACAAGTAAGCAGTGCCTTGGTGTTTTTGAGCGGAAGATTTTTCGTCGCTTATTTGGTCCTGTAAATGAGCGGGGGTCTGGAGGTTGAGATATAACGCCAAACTCTACGAGCTGTACCAGGACATGGATGTAGTCAGTAAAATCAAAATCAAGAGGCTGGCCCACATTACATGAGGGAATATGAGGGAAACATGAGGGAATATGAACGTCGAGGCAGGCCGAACCTTGGTTGGAGAGATGAAACAACGGCGGATTTAGAAAAATTGGGTATCTTCGATTGCAGGAGAGCTGCCCAGAATCGCGGTGGATGGAAGAAAATGTTGAGTCAGGCTCAGGATCTTCATGGTCTGTAAAGCCTAATAAGTAAGTAAATAAGTCAAATCATCTCATCTCGACGATCACCTAACTTGTCAAAAAAATGAAATTTTATATCTACTTGCACTTAGATAAAATGTGTTACTTTTAAGCATTGTTCGGGCATCAATTTCTCAAAGGTGAAATATAAAGCTGAATTGAGTCAATTTGTTGTTAACAATTGTACGTTCAAAATCTCAAGAATAAAAATTGGAAGCAAAAGGCCAAGAGATCCACCCATTTTTAAGCATTTTTAAAGATTTATATGAAAATTTAAATTCATTATTAATTAATATACTGTTATAAACTAATTATTGTTTATGCATAATTCTTATAAATTCTTTTGACGGGTTAATATGATAAAGATACAGTAAATGTAATGGTAACAATTTTAAAAAAAACGCTGTAAAGCCGGCACTTCATCTAGAAAAAATTCAAATTTCGACCTTTCTTTTCTCGAAAATAACAATGAATGCACCATAAACTAATTTAAAAATGCTCATGACTTTTCATTCAAAAAGCATTCTTTTTTAACAGCCAATCTATTTGATAAATTTTCAAACACTCTTCATAATAATAAGTATTAAAATATAAATTATCATTTATTTCGAACTTTTGAATTAAAATATATTTTATTTTTCTTGTTTCTTTTTTCTCTTTACCGCAATAATAAAGAAATTTTATAAGAATTTTGCCGTTGAATTAAAAGAAAATTTAAAATAATTTTTGACTGAATTTCAATATATAATAAATTTAATTAAAGCCGTGTTTAAGAAAAGTATGAATCGAATTTTAAAATATATTTATGAATTCTTTCAAAATCTATTTCTTTTTTTTTCATATTTTATTAATTTTTAACTTTTTTTTAATTTTTTAATTTTTAGAAATTTAAAATTTATTATGAATTTAAAGTCTTCATAAATATACTTCAAACATAGTCAAAACACGCAGATATGTTCCACAATTAAACAATTGCAATACTGATTTTAAATTAATTCTAAACTAAATTTAATTTTTATTACAGCACATAAATTTTAAAAATAATATTGTATCTAATTTTTTATTAATATAAAGAATTTTCAAATGTCTCATCGAAAATTATTTATATACACCAGTATATCGACCCATAAAATATATTTCCCCTTTACTTCCCTTTAGTAAATAAATGAATGATTGATTAGCTACAAACGATCTCATATTTCCATTAGCTATTCTATATTCTAACTCATATCCAGTTGCAGCTGCCGCTTCAGCACCATTTTCATGAATGTCAATATATGCTTTGTGAACAGCTTTTGATATTGAAAGAGGTTCGTTCATTTTAAGAAATTTGCTAAAATCAGCTTCATTACTAAACAAATTCGTCATTCCCAACTAAAAGGAAAAGAAAAAATTAAATTAATGAAAAATTAAAAAAAAATAAAGACCTTTTCTAAATTAAATTACCCTTGAAAGGATAAGTTTTAGATCAATATCAGTTTTACCTAAAAATTTAGGTATTTGAACTTGACCTTCAACTTTTCTAATTTGTGCATCCTCTATTATGTTATTCAATCCAGACTTTGTAAAAAGATTTTCAATGTGATCAATATTTAAGTTAAGTTTTGATGGTATTATAATTTGAAAACTTATATCTGTTTCAATAAAACCAATTTCCGCTACAATATAATTTTTTTCTTGATTAGTGCCCAATTTATAAGAACGTTTAAAACCATACATAGTATCAACTTCAATTATTTTCGTTGATGTTGAGTAAAATTTGTCTTTTTGCGTAAGCATTGGTAAAAATTTCTCTTTCCATTCTGCTTGAAAAGATATCGCATTTATAAGAAGCATAATAGTTTGAGGATCTAATGCATCTGGACTTAACAATTGACGAATTTTACCGTTAGTATTACGACGTACGAAACGATTTATACGTTTTGTTGCACTTTTAATATCGCTGAATTGAATATTTTTTATGGTACTATTAAATTTTCTTTTAGCGTCATTTGAAAATCCTCTTGCAATTTCTAATTCTTCTGCTATAAAAATTCCATTTGCAATTTTTAAACTATCATCATATTGATATTTTTTTAAAATATTTTGAAATAAGTTACCGATATCCTTTGCACTTAACTTAAAATTAAAACAATCTTGTAATAGTTTAGATGTGGTTTCATTTGCACCCAGATATAAAAGACCACCAGTAATTTGTATAGAAAAAGGTGAAAATACAAAACTGTTACCTTCTATACTAGCTATCTCACGATACAATTTTAATGCAAATACACTATTGTTGTCAATAAATTCATTTATATTACTTTTCTGAGAGTTAACATATTTATTAAAAAATACAACTAATATCACTATCGTAAAGAAATAAACGTTTATTTTAAACATTTTGGTAACAAATTTTTAAAATAATATCTAAATTCAAGGAATATTAATTTAAATGTTTATATTTTTTTTAAGTATGTATAAGCTTGTATTTTTCTTTCCCTAACTTAAGTAGTATATGGTTCGGAATACAATACTAAATGCTTTTATTATAAAATATTGGCTTATTTTATTTTACATTTTTGCAAAAAGAGGGGAGAAACTTTTATATGCAAGATATATATATATATGAACATATATGTATGTCATACAAATATTTTGTATTGTTTGTAGTACAAATAATATGTATACATCTACTATATTTTAACATGCGTCACCGTAATTTACTTGTATGTACTCGAAATAGGATTACATATTTTTATGTTTAATTTTGAATAATACTTTAATATATATTAATTTTAAAAGCTTCTTACATGAAATGAAGTTAACGGAATTTTTATATAAGAATTTATGTTTTTTCATACATTCGCTTATTACTGTAAAATGAAATAATCGGTCAACATTATAGGAATTAAACATTATATTAATATTACGGGGAAATAAAATACATAAATTGGTGTAATTTTTATTCATAGAAATCTATGCAATAATTTCTGGAAACAAATATTTTTAACAAAAAAAATACTTGCAAGAAGAAAATTTTGAGTAGCGAGAGCAATAACAAAATTAGCAATAATAAATTTACATGAAAATGAGAACAAAAAACTTTATGATTAAAAACATTATGTAATATTTCAATGGCCCTATCAACTTTGTCGTGTGAATTTTGGCATTTGCATTGATTTAACATGACAAATCATTTTCGAACTTGATTGTGCTAGCAATTGTAAGAACTTATACAACCATAACCAAATTGTACTGGAAAAGTGACGTTTTTACTGCACTCGTTATGAAAAGTTTTGGAACGGCAGGCTCTATAGTTGCAATTTAATTAGTCTGACTTGACAAGTTATCGCTGAGCTCACAGACGGATAGACATAGTTAAATCGAAATTGTAAGATAATAATTCCTTTCGAATATTCGTTCGTAATTGCATATATAATTGTATAAATGCATTATACAATTAATATTATACAAAGACATTTTATTACAAGAAGTATTTAAAAATCAATTTTTTGTCTGAATTCCATCCCATTGGAATTAAGCAAAAACCTATAGTGAATGTATTTATGTACGTTTAAATTATGTACATATTATATACTACTCAATGCATCACCCGCATCTCATATTTTGATATTAAAATTGTAAAATATTGTTTTAAATAAAATTTTATCAACTTAGTTTATCAATTTCGATTTACAAATGGTTAACAACGCACGCCCTGTTGGATAAATTTGTAGAAATGCAATTGAATAAATTACTATCGTTAAAAATATTGGACATACATACGCTATACAGATGTCTATTCTTATATAATAATAATAATATATTTAAATAGTTTTAATGAAATATTGGTTTCTACAAATAATCAAGTATCTTTGATTCATTTCAGTGTACTTACATGATATATTCTGAAATTATGTACTCACACTTAATTAATAATTCAAATTAACATTCGATTGAATAATTCAAAATTAATTTCTTAAAAAATTGGATTTTCAATTAGAAAGAAAAAGGAAAATTGAGCATCAAAAAATAAAACAGTGGACTCTTTTGAGATAATTAGCATTTTTTTAAAACCTTTCAGTTTTTCAATTCGAAGTTTTAGAATCAATGTTATAAACAACGAAAAAATTTCAAAATTTTAGTGCCATATGCTTCGGATTTTCTACGTCGTCATCATTTTATATATTAAAAATTTCCTAGAGCAAAATTAAAAAAATCAATGAATCGAAAGCTTGATAATTTTTTACTTAACCAACAAACCACAAAAGTCTAAAAATCATTTTTCTGTTTATTAATTGATTTTTATCTGCATTCAGCGATATTGAATGTTTATATACACTTTTACGTTCACATTATTTTTTAGCAATTTTCCAAAAAAATTTTTGAAAAAAAGTGCTTATTAGCTCCACTCCGTCCGTCCGTCCGTCAATGGACATGTTTACAAACAAAACTTGTACATCCCTTGAAGATAGAAAGTTGAAATTTTATATGTACATAGATTTTTACTAGAAACTTATTTTCGTAGAAGAAAATTTTTACTTATCTCCCCCCTCTAGAAGTTATTCCCCCCCCCCCCCCCCCCCCAAAACCCTAAAAATTCCATTTTTTAACTATTAATTGCAGTGAAACCATAAGCGTTTTTCAAATTTTGCAAACGCCGAAAGGCTTGCTTTCCCTAGCGCTATACTATAGTTAAACTTCATACTATAGTTAAACTTAAAAAAAAAACAAATTCGTTGTTAAAATTTACCGTTATCCAAAATCCGTTTTTTTTCAAATTTTGATGTCGTTTTTCTTCTAGACCACAGGTTGTTGGACCATGAAACTTTAGCAGTTCTTAGATACAAACAAATAGCTCATTTCGTTTGAATAAAATTTTTCTCCATCTCCACCCCCTCTCAAGTTATCGCCTGTTGAAATTTGTAAAATTTAAATTTTCGGCGCCGCATATTTCCGAAACCGCAAGCTTTGTCAAATTTCTTTAAACGCAGAAAGTGAACGCATAAATTCCATGACATTAAGAAATATAATTATTTTTCTTAACTCATGCAATTAACCCTTAAAATCGAGCATTGTGTTAATCCCTCTTTATAATAATTTTTGCTTTATTTCAAAGACTGCAAAAATCGTTCATCCTAAATATAATCCTATAAATAGTTAATATAAATATATAAGTTTTTGGGTATACACAAACTATTTTTAAAAGGAGTATTTTCACTTATTGAAGGGAAAAGTGCTACAATACAAACCATTGGTTTGACCCAACTTTATTTAATATTTTATTTTAATTCAAAAAGTAGCGAAGAAATTTTTATTTCCATTTTCCAAAATTTTACATGAGTTCACAATAAAATTTCAATGTTTATAGTTTATTGACAATACAGAAAACCAAAACAAACATAATATTTTATATATTAAGATTTTCTATAGTTCTAAAGAAAAATTTTCTATAGTTCCTATAGTTTAACTATAGTTTAACTAAAACTCATTTTTATAATACAAATATTTTTAATATATGAATAAAAAATAATTATCAAAATTATTTATAACCAAATTACTGTAACCCCACCAAATTATTGTCACTATTTTTCAAAACACATTTTCCTTTAATATTTCAAGCTTTTAATTTCAATGTACTTTTTTAAATTTTAGTTAGAGCAAAATAGGTACACAGTATAAGCACGTTTCTTAGTATATGAAAAATAAAAATTAAATATAAATTTTTTTATAAACATACATACATACCAGTAAAATTTTGTAATAATATACAAATAAGGTTATCACTGCCCATGAAGGAAGTGATACTGATAGTAGAATTACGGGTAAAAAAAAAACTGAAATATTTACTGTGTCATATTTTGAAATAGTCAATATAAATTAATATTCAATTTCCAATTTTTTTATGTAGTTTTATGTTGTAAAAAAATAATTAAAATTATAATTTAATATTTAATCATATTATTCTAAATATACAGTAACAAAATGAAGTCAAGTAAGTAAAATACAGTTTTTTCTCAACCTTACACTGAATCTTACTTCCACTTAAATAATATAATTAGTACATAAATTTACAATAATAAAAGTAAAAATAATTCAAACTGCTATATGTATATAAGTAAGTTAGTCTAATATAATGTAATTACAATACAGTATTATATTATAATAATTTCTATTATTAATTAGTTTTAAATATTGAAAAAGACAAATACTGTAAAAAATTGTTTAAACGACACACGCTAAAGTGCATTTCAAGCTTATCTATACAAAATTTTAAAATCCCCATACAAAAACGTTCATTTGAGTGAATATGTCTAAGAATTTATATATGTATGTATGTCAACATCTCTATTTTTTTCGGTCATAAATGTAACTCTTTTTTGCATACTAATTTAGTACCGCGGTTATAGTTCTTTCAACTTTAAGAACTTACTTGAAATAATAGAAGTTTTATGATAATTACAATTATCACAATATTCAGAAGGAAAAAATAATTATTGTTAAATTTTAAGTCCACAAAACGGCTGACAAAACTACAGACCTGAGAAATGTAATTGTAAGAAAGAGTGACAGTTATTGAACGTAAATTTACACGTTATGGAAGCTATGCAGGGCAATTTTTAACATCATAAATCTGCCACAAGATCAACTTTTTTCACATTTTTAATTAGAAAGTAATGCTTAAAACAGTCTCAGAAATCTCTGTAACTTTTGTTGGACAACTTTTTTGAGACATTGATTCTCTCAAGGTCTCAGGTCCTGAGGAAGAGTTTAATTGATAAAATTTTAATATTACATATATTGTGTAATTTCAAAATATTCATTTCAAAATAACATATATGAGGGGCTCAGAAGGGAAGTGGCTTGACCATCAATTTAATTCTAAACAACAAACAAAATTTCACAAAATTTCGTTTGTTTTTTAGAAATGTCCATAAAAATAAGTCCAAAATCGTTGTTCATAGATATTGAATCCAAATTTCACTTGCAACTGCCGAATTTTTTTGGCAGAACGAAAAATTTCAATTTTCCTAGAAGCAAAGTGGCCTTATAAAATACTATATTGGACCTATAAAATACTAATCGAAATAAAATAAAAATTGTATTTAAATTTATTAAGTGCTTACTATTATTATTTACTCATGCCCGACAAAAAACCGGTTTATGTTTATCAAAATTATTAAAGAATGCATGTTATGATGTTCATGAGCAATTATGTAAAATAAATACGTAGTTAAGTACAGTCTGGTGTAAAGTTGTATATTGATTTTATATTGTAAAATAAAAAAATTGTGTGATCAATTAAAAAAATGTTTAATATGGAAACTGATGATGATAAAAGAAAATAAATTTATATATTTTATATAAAAACAATTTTACAAAAAAATTAGAATTAAATTGTTTTGTGGATTTCGGTTCGGAAAATCTTCCACTTAATCAAAGTTCTGTTTCATAGCAGTC